GAGATTGTTATGATAACGTTATCCGTTGTACCATAACGATAACATTACGTTATTTAGAAAAGATATAACGACACAACGCTACTATTTATTTTGACGTTTTGTCACCTGTCAACGTTATTGACTTTTTATGCGTGGCATAATGCTGAATTGCCTGAAAACAGATTATTTCATGTACCCCAGTTCCTTGTGGCATATATTAATCTGAGATATATTTTAAAATATAAAATTTTCATAATATATTTCAGTTTATGATAACTTTTGAAATATGTAAGTGAAGGTATTGTGCGATTGGCCAAATCACAGGAGACCATAAAAGCAGCACATTAGTATTAAAAGATAGGTACAAAGTTCAAAATCGAAAAAGTCCTCTTTATTTTGATTTTACAATTCAGAAGTGTCCGTTACTATCTAATGAATGTTGTCTAATGTATAATTAAGGATAAGAATTTTGGTAATTGTCAAATATATGTTGGTTCCAAGGCGAGTTTTAGCAATGTCTTTTACCGGTATGCTGTAGCTTCCATAGAAGCCTAGAAACCAGGCTTGCCTTATCAAACTGCTCAGTCAATAATATCAACTAATAAAATAACTCGTAAACTGTTTCAAAGCGCTCCTCTGTTCAGCACAGATCGTGACCTCGTAGCCTTATTATGTAACGTCAACACTTGACAGATTGCTTTACTGCGCGATACTGCTGTCATAAAAAAGGAGTTGAGTTGAGCGATTAGTCATCTCTCTCGCACGCGTGGATTTTTTACGATCGCTCCCTTTCTAACCTGTGGAAAAATGTTCTATAATGAAATATAACTACCACTGTTTATAAAGCAATTAGTATGGAGCCAAAAGCCCGGCTTTTGGTGTGAAGTTAGTCGAGCGCGCGGGCGCCAGGTCGATAGCGATACGTTTGCAACTTCACTTCACATTTCAATGTTTACTTCCCCTAAGGAATGCCACAAAGCACGGTCCTGAGCCACCTGCATCCACCGACTATATAACTATGGGATATAGTATATATTATATCCCGCGATTGGCTTTCACACTGTGAGATATATCTTTTAACCAGTGTGTGTTCGTCATTGGATTACCCCCTGTACCCCGCACATCGTTCTACGGTGGTACGGAGTACAGGGAGCGAAATATAATATGAAAATATCGCTCGGTCGATCAAAAAAGTATTTATGGTATGAGGTGTAATGTATATTCTCATCTCATCTCATCTCAGTGTAAACGGTTGCATTAAAAAGTACGGTGAGCGATATTAATTTATATCTCGAGATATAATATATATTACATTATATCCCAGAGTGAAAGCGGGCTTTAATCTTCTTGCTGGCTCACTTGATCCGTTTATGTACAGCAGAGCAGCCCAACCTCGAGTTAGGGAGATCCAACTCGAGTTAACCCATCACTAATACGACCTGTCCTACAGTGTGACCATTTGTGGCAGATTTCTGCCATTTTGGCAGATTTGGCACCTAAACTTGAACTCTGGCAGACTAAGCTGATAATTCAAAAAAGTGTCAGAAAATATATTCCAGAAATAATAAAGAAATCTTTATTGTTTCTGGAATACATTTTATATATTAGTATTTGTATTTGAAGTAATTATAATTTTCGAAGTCTTATTTTATTATTTAATTTATTTTTTTAATATACATTTATTTGGTAGGAAATTATTTACTTATGTGGCAACATTTGTCCAGATAGTACGGGGATTTCCCGTTTATTCTATTTTTATGTTACGCCATATGATTATGAACGGTAATGAATCAGAAATAAGGTTTATTTTCTTATTAAAATAACTTATCGACTTTCAAATCAATGTTTGTTGTCTTGTCTATCAGATAATCTTATCTGCCACCTTATTCTCGTTTGACGTTTAATATGTGCAGTTGTGTCTTTATGATGAAGAGAAAATACGAGCGTTCGTACCGACCTGAGTGGCAGCAAAATTCTTTGCTTTCGTCCTGGTTTTCCAGAGCTAAGGAGGATCTTGATATTGCATTTTGTAAAGCATGCAATTGTAAATTAGTTACAAGATTGTCTTCATTAAAAGAACATGTGTCATACCAAAAACATAAAAAGCATATGATTGGGTATAGCGGCCAATCATCGGTAAGTATTTTACAATATATGTAAACATGTTTTTTTTTTATTCTTATACTTAGTATCTTACTGGACATTGTAAATTTAGATAAACGAATATTATTAAATTATTTCAGGTGCAACAGTTTTTTAAGAGCTCTACCTTAGAAGAGTAAGTTAAAAAAGCAGAACTTAATTTTTGTGCTATGCTATGTGGAACACAATTTACCGTTTCGACTAATGGATCATTTGAGCAAAATTATTTCAAAATTAGTTCACGATTCTGAAATTGTTGTCATTTTCCTGCAAAAGAACTAAAGAAGCAGCTTACACCAATACTTTCCTTGGTTAGAGATGAGACCACAGATGTCACATCTACATCAACGCTTGCAGTTGTTACCAAATATTATTCGAATAAAGATCTTCAGGAAAATACAAAATTTTTAACTTTGATGGATTTGAATGGAGCATCAGCCCAAGCTTTGTTCGATGCACTTTCCGAGGCTTTAATAATAACTATAATACTAGCATTAATATTAAAGATGCAATTGGTTTCGGGGCTGACACTAATAACGTTATATTTGGCAAACAAGGTGGTATTATTGCCAAAATAAGACATGTCAATCCCCACTGCATATTCATTAAGTGTGTATGTCATTCTACTGCTTTGCGTGTATCTCACGCCAGTAAAAACTCTTTACTAAGGGCGATTAACCAAATAGTGCAAGAGGTTTTTGGGTATTTTGCACATAGTAGTAAAATGCAAAGGGAATTTACTGAATTCCAAGATCTAAGCATAAAATTTTAAAACATTACGAAATTCGCTGGCTATGTTAACATGCATGTATTAAAAGAATTTAGGAGCAATGGGATGCCCTCAAACTTTTTTCAGTCCCCGTTTCTGCATAACAATAATATTTTAGCTGAATTCTTATGTAATAGTTTGAATGACAAGTTATATAAACTTTATTTTAATGTTTTGTATTATATACTGCAACTAATTAACAAACTGAACACTATATTTCAAGGAGATTATACGACAGTCCATACACCATCAAAGACATTTCTGATGTGTATGTGGGCCTTTTAAGTTGTTATATAAAAGGAAATTATTTGAAAACCACAGATTCGCTTTGTATAGATCCAAAATCTAATGTGAACTTTTACCTCTAAAGGAATTGTATTTAGGTGTGAACGTTAGTAAAGAAATTAATCATCTATCTGCAGATGTAAGTTTAAAACCTGGAATTCAATCTTTCCTTCAAAGAATGCAAACATCTTTAATTGAATTCTGTAATCAGTTAAAAAATCGTTTGCCACTGAGCAATGTTTTTGAAGACTTACAATTTCTAGACTCACAAAATGTTGTTTACAAAGATCATGTATCAACAGTGAACATTGCTAAATTCTGAGGGCAAATGGAGCTCCAAAATATCCAAATATTGCAAACTTTACAAAATGTCTCTCTTATGTTTGTCAAATGCCTCTTGCGAGAGAATATTCTCCCAAGTAAACTTAAATAAAACAAAAATAAGGAACAGGTTCTAAACAAACATGTATCCACTTTAATCACAACAAAAGAAGGTATAAAAGAACACGGAGACTGTATCTCCTGTAAACCAACGAAAGAAATGATTAAAAAGATGTCGTTGAAATCAGTATATAATTAAAATTAACAAAATGAAGAGTATGAAGCAAATGTTGAATAATAGTAGGTATCGTATAGTATAGCAAGAATAAAAATAGTACGTACGTAATAGTAGTACTTAAATTTAAAAAAATATGTGAAATATTGTAGAATAAAGAAGTTCCTTTGAATACATAGTATTTTATTTATTCATACCTGTTTCCGCGCATGCAATAATATGATGGCATATTTTTGGCATTTTCTGGAGTCGGTTTGGCAGATTTTTTTAGTGTAGCAGATTTGCCATTTTTGAGATGGTCACACTGCTATCCTATCCTCTTAGTAGTCTGTGGATAAAGAGTACGACCACCAGGTAGGGATGTTCGATGTTGCAGAAACATCGATGATGACATCGATAGCTCAACATTGATATTCGATGTTTATCCTATTCAAAACATCGATGTTGGCCATTATCGATGTTAATTGCACATATATTTAATAGGTTAGAATGAAATGAATAAAAAATTGTCATGTTGTTTATGGTTATTAATGAAATAAAAGAAATTAAAAAAATGCACTCTAAAACAGTAATTAAAAAAAACTGGAAGAAGTTCACAAATATCTAGTTCATTTATTATATAGTCCAATATTTCAAGTTTTTTTTAAATTGTAGGTAGGTAGAACCTATATAATTGTTTTAAACGTGTATCGGATCGTGTTTAAGATCAACCATCGTTTTTTATTGAAAATACCGACAAATAAACATGCAACTAATAACGACACCAATCACAAAACGAAATCTGTGACAACAGCCACATTACAGTTAAATTTCATACACCATAATGATATATTTTTAGGTTATCGATGGGTTCAACCATTCTGAATTATTCAAAATTTTAAATATTTCAGAGGAGATGCAAGATTTAGTTTATATTGATTTCGCGGGTTCGCAAGTACCCAATGATCGATTATGGGTTTATTGATATCGATGTTTGATATGTGGCAATATCGATGTTTTCATTTTTGACATCGATGATCATCGAGCATCCCTACCACCAGGTTTAGAAGGGCTAGAACCCAGAGCCGTAAAGCCAGTTAAAAAAAAGAGTACGACCACGAGTCCACTCCACGATATATTTTATATTTTCGATTTTCGTGTTCTGATCTGCAGTTTCTGGATTTTTGCATTCATATTTCATAAATTATAATTATAATCTGAAATGATAGCCACGCGCGAGTGCGCCTAGTTAGATTGTGTTTAAGGCTTATTATCTCACATCTCTTGATAATGGAAGATCAAGAATCAACAAATATTCAAGAATTAGGACCAGTTGAAAATGCTTGGGCTATGAAAATTCCCAAATTTACTCCAGATGATAATCCTCATGGTCTTCTCGAAGAAAGTAAATTTGCTACGTTATTTCCAAAATATCGCGAGCAATATTTGAAAGAATGCTGGCCACTAGTTCAAAAAGTATTAAAAGAACACCATATTGTAGCTGAATTAGATCTTATTGAAGGAAGTCTAACTGTAAAAACAACTAGGAAAACATGGGACCCATATATAATAATTAAGGCTAGAGATCTAATGAAATTACTTTCCAGAAGTGTTCCATTTGAACAAGCTGTAAGAGTGCTACAAGATGAAATTGGTTGTGATATAATAAAAATTAACTCATTTGTGCGTAAAAAAGAAACATTTTTAAAAAGACGGCAACGTCTAATTGGTCCAAACGGAGTAACACTTAAATCCATAGAATTATTAACTGAATGTTATGTACTTGTACAAGGAAACACAGTTTCAGCAGTTGGTCCATACAAAGGATTAGTTCAAGTTAGGCGAATTGTTGAAGATACTATGAAAAATATTCATCCAATGTATAACATTAAAAGTTTAATGATCAAAAGGGAATTGATGAAAGATCCTAGACTTAAAAATGAAAGTTGGGATAGATTCTTACCAAAATTCAAGAGTAAAAATGTACCAAGAAAGCAACCAAAACAAAAAGTTAAGAAGAATCCTTATACACCATTTCCTCCACCTCAGCCTGAAAGTAAAATTGACCGTGAATTGGCTACAGGTGAATATTTCCTTAAAGATGAACAGAAAAAAGCTAAAAGAAGACATGAAAAAGAAGAAAAACAAATGCAAACAAAGAGAGCTAGAGAAGAAGAAAGAAAGAAAGATTTTATACCACCTGAAGAAAAAAGCAATGAAGTACCAACAACATCAACTGAATCTTCCATTGATATAAATAAATTTAAAGCTAAAATGAAGAAATTATCTAAGCAACATAAAGTAGGCAGAAAGCCACAAACATAATTTTGTTTGAATGTTTTCTAATAAATAAATAATACAAAACAGTAGTACATATTTTACTTTCTCAATTTTAATTTTGGTACTTTGGTATTTTTAACAATATCTTTTTTTCCATTCATGAATGGCTGCAACACTTGAGGAATATTAATTTTCCCTCTTGGATCTTGGTGTGTTTCGAGCAATGCAATTAGCATTCTTGGAATAGCACAAGCTGTTCCATTTAGTGTGTGGACATAGTTTTCTACATCAAAGTCTTTGTATTTAATATGAAGTCTTCTAGACTGGTAATCAGTGCAGTTGCTGCAGCTAGATATTTCCCCATAAGAATTGCGTCCAGGCATCCAAGCTTCAATATCATATTTCCTTTAAAAAAAAAAGTTCTTTGATGAAATGTAACAATATGTTTGATAATAACATACATTTAAACAGAAGTAAATATTATCAGTGTACACTTTTCTAAGAAACTTTCTTCAGTTGGTGTATTCTTGAAAGGGCAAATATTTAACAGTGGACTGAAAGAGCAGTTCAAATATTAAGTACATTCATTAATTAATTTATTACAGCATTTAAAAAACCCACTGCTGCCACACTTGATACTTGAAGCCATATTATGGTCAGTCCATAGCCACTTCAGCTTGCTGTTTTATTATTATATATTCATTAAGTTTGTAGGCTTTAATATATTGGTTGTTAAACATATTATTACCTTGAATAAACACCTATTGAACTAAAAAAGTATAAAGCAATTTTTAAATTTATATTGATCAATAATGTTTTTAAACTTTAAGGATGTGGCTAAGGTTTTCAGCTAATAAAAACTGAAAATTAATATTACAGGTAACTTAATTCTTATTTAAAGTAAATTATTATTCAGTCTCCAGTCGAGAGAAATGTTAATTCCATATCTGCTTACACTGAGTGGTTAATCCACTGTGTATGTTGATTCTTGATGCAAATGCAACCTAATGATTTTACAATTCCTGAAGGCACCTAAGTGTAACAATCGGTTTGGCTTTCACTGCCTCTTATGCTAAGCCAACAGGGGCAAGTACCTATGTCAGCCACATTATTGCAGATCTGACAATATGCAGATGCAGATTCTTTACAAACAGTTTACAGAAAGATTAAGAAAACACCTTCATACTCATGCTTATTAAAATAGTCAACTGGACAAAGTATGAGTGGAAGTTAACAATGAATAAAATGGCAAAAATTTAAATAACCAATATAATCAGTGTAATTATAAGGTTGCATCTTATTCTTTCCTATTTCATCATCATCATCATTACAGCCTTTCATAAGTCCACTGCTGAACATAGGCCTCCCCCAAGGAATGCCACAAAGCACGGTCCTGAGCCACCTGCATCCATCGACTTCCTGCATGTCTTACCAGGTCGTCACTCCATCTCGTGGGGGGTCGCCCTACACTTCGCCTACCGGTACGAGGCTGCCACTCAAGAACCTTTCTTCCCCAATGGTTGTCGGTTCTTCGAGCTATATGGCCGGCCCACTGCCACTTCAGCTTACTAATCCGTTGGGCTATGTCGGTCACTCTGGTTCTACTGCGGATATCCTCATTTCTAAGTTTATCACGCAGAGAAACTCCGAGCATAGCCCTCTCCATAGCTCGCTGAGCGACCTTGAGCTTCCTCATACCGCCAGCAGTGAAGGACCACGGCTCAGATCCGTAAGTCATCACTGGCAACACGCACTGGTTGTAAAATTTCGTTTTAAGGTTTTGAGGAATGTCTGACGAGAAGATGTGTCGTAGTTTCCTGAACGCTGCCCAGCCGAGTTGAATCCGTCGATTGACCTCTCGGTCGAAGTTGGACTTACCTAGTCGGACTATTTGTCCCAGGTAAACATACTCATCAACAACTTCGAGCTTAATGCTCCCAAGAACTATCGGCATAGGTGTGACATGGACATTGAACATGATCTTTGTTTTGTCCATGTTCATCTTAAGGCCTATCCGTTGGGAGACACTATTGAGGTCATTGAGCATGATGCTTAGATCCTGCAGCGATTCTGCCATAAGGACTATATCGTCGGCAAATCGAAGGTGAGTGATGTACTCGCCATTGATGTTATTACCGTATCCTTTCCAGTCCAGAAGCTTGAAAACGTCTTCCAATGCAGCGGTGAAGAGTTTCGGGGATATAACGTCACCCGGTCTTACACCTCTCTGCAATTGGATAGCTTTCGTACTCTGGTTCTGTACTCGGATAACCATCGTAGCCCTACTGTACACGCACTTAAGCACTTCGATATACCGACATTCAACTTGGCACCGCTTAAGGGACTGCAGCACCGCCCAAATTTCGACGGAATCAAAGGCTTTCTCATAGTCCACATACGCCAGGCATAGTGGGAAATTGTACTCCTCGGACTTCTGTACAACTTGCCGAAGGGTATGTATGTGGTCTATGGTGCTAAAGCCCTTTCGGGAACCGGCTTGTTCGGGAGGCTGGAAGTCGTCAAGTCTGCGCGCGAGACGATTCGTAATGACTCTCGAAAACAGCACATAGACGCGGGTCAGAAGGGAAATCGGTCTGTAGTGCTTCAAGGGAGCTTTGTCACCTTTCTTGAAGAACAATACCACCGCACTTCTGCTCCACGCCTCCGGTGTAATGCCACCATGGAGGACGGAATTAAAGAGCCTCTGAAGGACTTCAAGTAACGGTTTTCCACCCGCTTTCAGAAGCTCCCCTGTAATTCCATCCTCGCCTGGGGCCTTGCCGTTTTTAAGATGCTGGAGAGCCATTCTAATCTGGCCCAGACTGACGTCCGGGATATCTTCAGAATAGTGTCGGATAAGACTCGCCCTTGGATCATTACTCACACTTGCGTGTGGCTCCAACGATGACGTGTACAACTGCCCATAGAACCTCTCAATCTCACTCAAAATCTCAGGTGCCCCGGAAACGATGCTGCCACACTCGGTCCTCAGCTTTGACAGTTGGCTCTTTCTGGCAGACAGATCTCTGGCAAAGACTTTGGAGCCTTGGTTCCGCTCGATAGCTTCTTCAATACAAGCTGTATTGAAGTTGCGTATGTCCCACCGCATGCATTTGGAGATCTGTCTGTTCAGTTGCCTGTATGCTGTCAAATCTGTTGAAGAATGTAGCTTCATCTCCCGTCTAACAGCCATGAGATTGAGAGTGTGATCGGAGAGTTTTTGTGTTCTTCTGCGGCGGGTCTTGCAAAACTTAGCTCCGACCGCATGGACAGTTCCCACGAGCTTGTCATTCATATCGTCCACTTCATTGCAGTCTTCTAGGCACTGAAAACGGTTTTGTAACTCGAGCTGAAAGGTTTCGGGACTTTGGAACAGAGCACGAGGGGGACGGAGCGTTGACTTCATTAGACGACACCTCTCCAACTTAACGTTTAGGTTCAGTGTGCCTCTAACCATTCGGTGATCGCTACCAGTTTTCACCCTCGCGATCACGGAGACATCACTGAACAGTTGTCGTCTGGTCGTCATAATGAAGTCAATCTCAATTTTTGTCGAAACGTCGGGGCTCGACCAGGTCCACTTCCTGTGGGACCGCTTCTGGAAGAAAGAGTTCATCATAAAAAGTCCCTCTTTCTCCATGAAGTCGGCCATCTGCTGGCCCCTTGGTTTCCATTGCCCTATTCCAAATTTCCCTACTTTCATCTCACCGTTCTCTCTTGTGCCTAGTTTTGCATTGAAGTCTCCCATTAACACCGTATATTGGGTTTTGGAGGAATGCATGGCTCTAGAGATATCCTCATACATTTCCTCCACCTCCTCATCGGGGTGTGCCGAGGTTGGTGCGTAAATCTGTATGACCTTCAGCGAATACCGTTTGGTGATTCTGAGTATAAGGTACACAACCCTCGTCGACACTCTCGATCTTTACAACGTTGTTAACGAGAGACTTGTGGACGATAAATCCGACAGCTCCTTGGGACAGATGGTCGCCCTCCCGGTGATAGAGCAAGTTGCCGGAGTCGAGGATTACCGTGTCCTCCCCCTCTCTTCGGACTTCAGATAATCCTATAATATGGCAGCGTAACTTGTCTATCTCTTCTTCCAGCTCCACAATCTTCTTGTCAGTCCTCAGGGTGCGTGCGTTGTACGTTGCCAGGTCGAGTCGTCTAAAGTGGCAACCGAACCTCCACTGGAGATTCTTAGCACCCCCTGTTACCCCCCCCCCCCTTTCCTATTTACATGGATAATGAAATTACTACCAGCTACCATATGATTATGTAATTTTATCAATATGTTTTAGTTGAAAAAAATCACTTTCGTGTACATACACACTTACCGATAGGCTGGTGCACCTAATTCATGAGGTGGCATATCTAAAACTCTCATATGAATCCCCAGTGGTGAAAATAGCTCTTCTTGAACATTTCTTATGTACTCCAGCATATCGTCTGATTGTTGAGTGGTAGTTATTGCAAACATCTCAACTTTTGTGAACTGATGAACTCTAAAGATAAAGAATTATTGAACTATTTCAAAATTTTAGGACATAAATAAAAATCTCACTTTATCTGAAAGTATCACAATCCATAAAATGAAGAACCCATGACCCACTTTTGCTTAAAAAAGTTCAATGTCAATAATATTTCAACCTTTGTTATTAGCCGACTTCAAAAAAGAGAGGTTCTCAATTTGGCTGTATGTTTTCTTCATGCACCAATTTTGAAAATCTTAAATGTTCCAATTTTGAAAAGCTTTTTGGGTGTAAATAATTAAAAAAAAACAATAAAAAGCAATTTAAGTAAACAATAATTTCACATTCTTAGGCTTTAATTGTTCTATAAATTATTTCTTGGCACTAACTTAAAAATGTTAAATTCTTTTTTTTTTAGTTCTTTGAAATCAACTTTTACTTTTTTCTAGTTATTTTTTTTCCTTATAATGTATAGTATATTTTGTTATGTATAGCACATTTTGAACATATTTTATTAGTGAATACATACCTGTATGTCCCTCTCTCCTCATTTACATTGGATGTTTCTGCTCGATAGCATCTACTTACTGCAGCTAATTTTAAAGGAAGTTTTTCTATATGATGAACTGAATTTGCCAATAGTCCAGCCAAAGCTATTTCAGCTGTGCCAGACAAATACATATCATGTCCATGATAAGCAGGATCTAAAGAATATATCTGAAAACATTATAAAAGAAGTTAATTTTCTCATAAAACAGTCAGTTTTTTTAAATTTAATCTTCAACCTCTACAGCTCAAACTTAAGATACTATACCTACATCATATGGCCATATTAGTGTCAAAAATTGCCAATATTCTTTGCTTTTGTTCATTGTCTGAGATTTATGTATCAAAATTTAAACTAAGGAAGACATTTATCCGCAGAGACAAGGCAGACAAACAGCCATTTTATTTCAGGATAAATCTTCCATTAGTAGCAAACCAGTAGAAACAGTAGGATGATGTTTGTAGGGTATGTACAGGTACAGTATAACAAATACATATATGTTTAAATTTTTTATATAAAACAAGATCAGGCAGGTTTTTTAGGTGTTTCCATTACAAGTAATCATGCCACATTAGTTGCTTTAAGTATTTCCAGGCCTAATCTCCAAAAATATTCTCAGTGTTAGCCTTTTGTAGTATTTACAGATAACAAGACAAATTAACCAATGGTATGGCTTTAGTTTTGTGGGATAAAGCCTCATCTTAAGCGCACATTGTTTAAGGTAGAGGCAGTACCACCTTCAGAGCAAAGCCAGTATTCTTGACATAATACTGTAAAGAGTGCCCTAATCCTAGCAGTATACTATCAATCATATATTAATACAATTTTCATTTCAAACTTTTTACTGTTGTAAATTATTATACACATTGTTTATAGTACATCTAGATATATATTTATATATCCAAATGATAGGAGCAGGTTTCTCATTTCCGAGAAGGCAGGGAAGCCATGCTGCCCCAATGTGTGTAGGCAGATTTCATATATCCTGAAAATTATGTTAATTTTTTCTGCATGCAGATATTTTTCATACTTTTACCACTAAACTCGTGAGAAATCAGCAAGGTTTGAACTCTGTTTACTGAAATGAAAATCAAGAATACCACTTATCTATAGAGCTATCATTGCTATGCATACATGCATGTAAATAGTCACACTTTTTTAACTTATTTTATATAAGTAATATATAATAGAAGCTGTGGTAGCTCAGGAGTGTCAGTGGATATTTCACAGCACACAAGCAACCCGGGTTCGATCCCTAGTGAAAATTTTACTTGCAATTTTAAGTGCTGATTTACTACATGCTCAGCAGTGAAGGAAACCTGCATGTCTGAGAAATAAGAAAAAAGATTTCAAAGACACATTAAGTTTGCCAACTTTGCCCCTATGCATGGGCAGTGTGGCAAACATTTCCCTGACCTAAAACTCTCTCAGAAATGAGAAGAGGCCTTCGCCCAGCAGTGGGAAGTATATAAGCTGTTACTTCAACTTTTAATATAAAATAGCATATTAATTCACTTTTTACTATTTACCTGCGTTCGTTCACTATTGACTGCCATGCCACAACTTTTTAATAAGTTACTTGGCAAAATATCAGGGACAGATATAAGTAAAAAATTTTTGCTCAGTAATGTATTAACTGTATACTTAATTAAAGCCTCCTCTAATTCTGCTAAATCACCAAAATAGTAATAACTTTTATTTCCACAAGTGTGTCCTAACTTATCAGTTCTCATTAAGTTTAATCTCTCTGTTATTTCGCTAAATTCTAATGGTGTAAATGTGCCAAATTCCCTTCTTTGATTGATTTCATGTATTACTTGTGGATCTTCACTATAATTTAGTACAGTTGGATGTGTTTTATTTGGTAAATTACTTAATTCTTCATACAATTTTAATTTTAAAGTTGTATATAAATTATTACTGGATGGAGTTAACTTTAATGTATTGTACAAATTTAAGACTCGATCAATATCACCTACACCTTTTCTAACTTTAATGTTATGTTTAATTTCATTTGTATTTTTTACATTGCAATAATATCCTATATCAATATCAGGAACTGAAAGTGAACAGAATAGTCTAACAGGTTTGAACTTCCCACTACATCTGCAAATATTGTGCAAAAACATAGCAAGGGTCTTTTCAAAAAGATATTAATATAACACAAGCAATAGTATGTTTATAATTGCTTTTCGGGTATATTCCAATATATTTTAATTATAGTTTAAATGTGTTTGAAGTCTTGTTTGTAACATATGTTACTGTCACTGTATCTGTTACTAAAGTGTAAAAAATACTCAGGCTAAGTTATATGAGGATCTGAATTTGTAAATATAATTCAGAGTAAGTACTTTATGAAACACTTGATATACATAATTCTTCTTCTTTCTTTAGTTATTCCATTGACTTAGTAGTTTGGTATTCATTCGCATTAGGGCAGGAATCCTAATTCTATGTCATGAACAGGCTAGGAGTATGAGTAATATTACTACTTTAAATGCCTAATGCCTGTGAGTCTGAGTAATAATATTCTGCGGTAATGTCAAGTTATGCTCTGTCCATATCCACTAAAATAATCTGACCAAGAGAATAGGAGGAAACACAGAACACAATTATTCTCTACCAAGAGGGAAGGAAGCAAAACTTGAAAATGAAAACAAGAATGTGTCATCTGTCATCCGTTTTTTTTTTTTGGAGATTATGGCCTGGTATCTAGACCTTTAGGCCAAGTCTTGAGTATTTTTATTCGGTTTATTATAATTTCCCCGCTGTATTTTTGATGAATTTATATAGAGGCACGTAATAGGATCTATTTTTTAACATATCACTCAGGCGGCGGGAGGGATCTTGCACTGTTACTTGATTTTGCAATATGTCACTAATTTCACTGACAAGAATTAATCTGTCAAATGAAAAGCACTCACATGTAAATATGAAATGTTCGATATCACCAATAGAATTATTGCAGAAGGTGCACTAGCTGCTCTCCACTATGCCCAACCGAGCCAGGTGGGCTGGGACGGTGGAGTGACTAAAACGTAATCTGTTTCTTTTAAAGTCCCGACTGGCCATTCTCAGTTTGTTATACCATGGTACTACAGGTAGTTTTTCTTGAACAGTTCCATACCATTTACCCATCTGTTCTTGATCTTGTTTCCGAAATTCGAGCCATAAACTATTGACCTGGTTGTCAACAGATTGATAACAGTCGGTCAAAGGTACTTTTACTATGGAGCTAACATCCAACATGTTGGTTCCATCACGTGCAATTTTATCTACTATCTCATTTCCTTCGTATTGTGAACGGTGCTTCAGTTCACAATACGCTTTAGAGTGAGGAAGGCAAAGCAAATCGAGAGCAAATTTTGATATATTCTGAAAGTCATCTAACGCACATATTTCTGCCCAAAATTCGTCTGGCGGGAGAGTCATATCAACATAATAAAGACCATGGGCAATCTTCTCCACCAATCGTCCACATTTTGCATTATTACTTCACTTACAGTCCGAGGCACTATTTTCATTAGAGAGAACAAAGCATTTACTTTTATTTCTGTATGATTCTGATGAAGCATTGGTAGATTTTTATGTTACGATCGTACATGCATATAACTCTTAAAAAATCGTATGAATACGATTTAAATCGTACATCTGGCAACACTGGTCATCTGGCTTTAGAGATAGGGCAAGAGCAACGTTAAATCGATTTTAAAAAAGACATTTAACGATACACAAAGTAAGCAAAATTATCGATTAGCTATCGATAAAAAAATTAAAACCGGAACATATACTGGGTGACTATTCTTACCGTCTGGCTAATAATGTGGTGTTTTTTTGAAGTGGAATAGAAGCTGTCCTCAAAATTATTTGCAAAATATAAATGATATGCAAAATTTTAGAAAATCCAGTTGCGGCGTAGCGTGGGTTGGCATCCAGGGCGGTCGTCAACCCCCCCGAGGCCGACCGGAGCTCCCGCGGGAGGGCGCCGCTCCCTATTATCTCACAGCGGCCTAGCGGCCAGGGAGGCGCCCCCCTGCTCCTACTGTCGAGCAGCCGATCACCGGGTGACGTCGTGCCCGAAATTGTTAAGTAAGCCGGTTCCGGCGAGGCGAACTATCGCCAGGGAGCGCCGCTGGTGCTACTCGTGTCTGGAAGGGCATCTCCAACGAGACTACCCGCACCAGTGGCCCTGTCCGCATTGCCGGGGTGGTCACCATGCAGTTTTGTGCCTGGGTGCGAACGGCGTATCTTCTCGGGGCTCTGCCAGACCCTCGACCCCCACGGGCGGAGGCACTCAGCCACGCCCTCTGACGGGTGACGCTCGGCGCTCACCAGCCAGCCACCGGGCCCCTAGGTTTGAAAAGGGTCCCTCCCCCGACCAGTCGGGAGGTCGTTCCCCCAGGGGCGGGGGTGTCATCGCCACCCCTCAGCGTGTGGAGAGGAACTTCACGGCCACTCAGCAGTTCGCTGAGCGACTTTTAACTTCCTCGTACGGCCAGCAGTGAATGACCACGTTTCAAATCCATAAGTCATCCACTGGCAACACGCACTGGTTGTACAATCTCGTTTTCAAGTTTTGAGACGAGAAGATGTGACGAAATCTCCCGAACGCTGCACAGCCGAGTTGAGTCCGTCAATTAATCTCTTGGTCGAAGTTGGAATTACCTAGTCGGACTATTTGTCCCAGCTACACATACTCGTCAACAACTTCGAGCTTAATGCTCACAACAACTACCGGCATAGGTGTGACATGGACGTTATACATGATCTTTGTTTTGTCCATGTTCATCTTAAGACACATCTGTTGGGAGGCACTATTGAGACAGTGTAGCAATATCTATTCAAGTAATGGAATAGTACCTCCAGTGATTCTGCCATGAGGACTATATCGTCGGCAAATCGAAGGTAAGTGATGTACTCGTCATTGTAATTAATATCGTATCCTTTCCTGTTCAGTAACTTAAAAAGGTCTTCCAATGCAGCGTTGAAGAATTTCGGGGAGATAACTTCACACTGTCTTACACCTTAATGCAATTGGATAGGTTTCATACTCTGGTTCTGTACTCGGATAGCCATTGTAGCCCTACTGTACAAACACTTCGGCACTTCAATATACCGACAGTAAACTTAGCACCATTGAAGGGGCTGCAGCACCGCCCAAATTTCGACGAAATCAAAAGCTTTCTCATAGTCTATATACGCAAGACAAAATGGTATATTGTATAATTTGCGGATGGGCGCTAATACCTTTTCGGAAACTGGCTTGTTCAGGAGTCTGTAAGTGTCGGGTCTGTGTGCGAGTCGATTCGTAATGACTCTCGAAAACAGCACGTAGACGTGGCTCAGAAGGGAAATCGGTCTGTAATTCTCCAAGAGAACGTTGTCGCCTTTCATGAAGACCAAGGCCACCGCACTTCTGCTCCACGCTTCCGGAGGATGGAATTAAGGAGCTTCTGAAGGACTTCAAGTATTGGTTTTCTACCCACTTTCAGAAGCTCCGCTGTAACTCTATCCTCACCCGTGATCTTGCTATTTTTAAGGTGCTTGAGAGCCATTCTAATTTCGCTCAGACTGACGTTCGGGATATCATCGGTATAGTGTCGGATAAGACTTGCTCTTGGATCGTTTTTCACACTTGCATGTGTCTCCAACGATGAATTGTACAGCTGCCCATAGAATATCTCAATATCACTCAAATCTCAGGTGTCCCGGAAACGATGATGTCACATTCGGTCTTCAGCTTCGACAGTTGGCTGTTTCTGGCAGATAGATCTCTAGCAAAGACTTTGGGGCCCTTGTTCCGCCCAATCGCTTCTTCAATACGAGCTATATTGAAGTTGTGTTGAAGTTACATAAGACTCGAAACTTGCATTTGGAAATCTGTCTATATTCACTTACCTGTATGCTGCAAATTCTTTCCAAATTGTTCGAATTCTCCTCCATTAACATCGTATTGTAGGTTTTGGAGGAACACATGGCTCTAGAGATATTGTCATACATTTCCTCCACCTCCCCATCGGGATGTGCCGAGGTTTTTGCGTAAACCTGTAAGACTTTGAGCGAATACCGTTTGGTGTTTCTGACTATAAGGTACCCAACCTTCGTTGACACACTCCCAATCTTTACAACGTTGTTAACGAAAGACTTGTGGCTGATAAATTTGACACCCTCATCGGACAGATGGTCGCCCTACCGGTGATAGAACAAGTTGCCGGATTCGATGATTACCGTGTCCTCCCTCTCTCTTCGGACTATCTAAGGATATCTTTCCAGGATCTTCTAGTCAGTACTCAGGGTGCGTGCGTCATATGTTGCCAGGTCGAGTCGTCTTAGGTGACAACAGAACCTCCACCGGAGTTTCTTAGCATCGCCAGCCCCACCGTTACCATGGTCGCCACCGTAGCCAGGAATAACGGGGCCGCCGGGGACTGGGGGCAATCTCTTCATAACTTTAATCATCAGGGGTATATTGCCATAGTTGACATGCTTGGCGAGCGGGTTGGCAACCGCAATTTTTAATTGTTGTTTAGCTCTGATCATTAAAGATGCTGCTGCCTATCTTCTACCTAAGTTTCCCTCTGTCGCCTCTTACGACACCGACGGGAAGATATGGGGTAGTCGGTATTCTTACCAGCCACTACACGGGGGTGACTTCCAGCCTGCTAAACAAGCCGGTTTCCGAAAAGACGAAAATCGTAAGAAGTCCGAGGAGTACAATTTGCCACTATATCTGGCGTATGTGGTCTATGAGAAAGCCTTTGATTCCACCGAAATTGGCCGTGCTGCAGTCCCTTCAGCGGTGCCAAGTTAACTGTCGGTATATCGAAGTGCTGAAGTGATTATACAGTAGGGCTACGATGGCTATCCGAGTACAGAACCAGAGTACGAAACCTATCCAACTGCAGAAAGATGTAAGATAGGGTGACGTTATATCCCCGAAAATCTGGATTGGAAGCCGTTTTCAAGCTTCTGGACTGGAAAAGATACGGTACTAACATCAACGGCGAGTACATCACTCACCTTGGATTTGCTAACGACATAGTCCGTATGGCAGAATCGCTGGAGGACCTAAGCACTATGCTCAATGACCTCAATAGTGCCTCCAAACGGATAGGTCTTAAGATGACCA